TTTCCCCTAGAATCATGCAAGCACATTCTTCCTTGTAAATTATACATGGCATAATTATAAGAAGGATTGTGTTTTGGGTCTCATTTCAAAGTGATTCCCTGTGAAAGATTTCACTGTATTACACACAATATAGTGGTAGCTTCCACTGCACAAATGTTAAGAATCGGCAGACTCCTATTTTTTAAGGAATAGATTCCATGTAGGGGTTAATATCAAATACACAAAGCCTAATCTTAGCCAGAAAAATTCCTTTTATTATAATCTTAAGGGCAGGAATTAAGTGGGTGGTTAAAAGGACATTAGAAAGAACAATTAGCAAATGGATAGAGTATAGACCTTGTTTGTGAACTATCAAATAGTATGTCAGAACATATGAAAATATACCAGTGTATCCTACGACTAAGATGACCATTATTTCTGTACATCGGTACATCTAGCTTTCTGCACATCTAACTCATCAGACACACTAAAAACCTTTGATCAACCGATAAGCTCAATAAATGTTTGCTGAGTAGCAGTGAATACAAATAAGATCCCCTAACTAAGGATAAACATTCCCACCAAGAGTGTTTAAGAACCCTTTTCATCCACATTCTCACCAGAATTTGTTATTTCTTGTTTGTTTGGTGACAGCCATTCTAGCAGGGTTATGATTAGCATTTCCCCGGTGGCTAAGGAGAATGAGTATTTTTTTTCATATGTTAGTTGCCTGTTTGTATTTCTTCTTTTATAAAGTATCTATTGAGATAATCTTCCCATTTCTTACATAGGAAGAGAAGAGAAAGGAGGGGAGGGGAGGGCAGGGGAGAATAGAATATTTTTCTATTGTTAATTTTTTGGTTCTTTCTGCACAATACAGCCATTATAGAGAATAGTATCAAGGAAACTCAGAAAACTAAAACTAGATTTCTCATATAAACCAGCTATTCTACTTCTGAGTATCTAACCAAAGGAAATAAAATGAGCATTCCAGAAAGAAACCTGGATGCCCATGCCGACTGATTTATATCAGCCTAAGTGCTCATCAAACGTGAATGGAAAAAGAAACTGCTAAATGTACGTGATGGGGTATTCTTCAGCTAGAGCAAGAATGAAATCTTGTCATTTGCTGCAAAGTGGATGGAACTCAAGCACATTATATAAAATATTAATCCAGACACTAAAAGACAAGCATGGTACTACTGTGTGTTATCTCTCACATGTAGAAACTAAAAAGAAATGCTGGCCTGTGTACAGAGGAGTGACAACCAGCACTTGGGAAGGGTGTGTTTGGGGGTGGATGAAAGAAGGCTGGATTGGCTCAGTGCGCATACCAAGGGTAGACATACTGCACTGAGTATCAGTCCCTGTAATGTGGATGAGTAATATGTCTTAATCAACAATTTAAAAGTATTTTTTAAAAAACAGTGGTTCCTCCCAGAAGAGAAGTTCATTAGGTTAGGGTGGTTTTCTAGGTTGCCAAAGGGAAGGTTTGTGAGCAATGTAAGCAAGAGTCAAATCAAGTTCAAGAGAATGAGTTGAGTGAGGAGGAGGATGCCAAAAGCAGCACATGATATTCCAGAAGTAGTGGTTTTAATGTCTCATGTAAGACTAGGGTGCAGGCGAGGAGGGGAGAACAGCAGGAAAGCTTATGTGCGGCTGCTGCCATCAGGAAGTGGACAGGCCATGCTGCTGCAAAAGGCCTAAGATGTCCTTAATGAACAGGAGCAGGGAAGTGGTCCTGTGCAGGAAAGGACAGCATCAGTGAGAAGGACAGGGAAGCAGGAATCAGAATCATCAATGCTGCCTCTCCTTCCTCCAGCCACCTAGGCAAAGAGAAAGGAGGTTCGGCACTCCCAAATTTTAATAAGAGGTCTTGAGGAATGATGTCTGAGAAAGTAGCACAGGACTTAGCCTCAGGACTGGCATGGCAGGAATAAGTGAGCTGGGAAAATATGTGGGTGGTGTGTTGTGTACAATAAACAAAGAAGTGTGCTATTTAGGAAGTGCTCGAGATGGCCAATGCCAGAATAAGTGGAAGGGGACAGCAACAGGAAAGAGGAAGACGGAGGCTCATCAAAGGTTCAGGGACTCATTTTTCCTATTCCTGAGAAGGCATAGCTGGCACCCAGGGGCTTAGTCCTCCCTGCTTTGGTATACCAAGTCTGGGGTAAAGGGCTAGGAACAGCCACAGAGGGCTATCTAGGGTTGGCCTGGCAGGACTGCTGAAGATTCACTAAGAACCCAGAGGGTCAGGAACTGTGAAGTCCCTCAAGGGGTTGACAGTTATGTGGTATGAGGCAGCAGGAACAACCATTGCTCTGACAGAGAGGGGTCTTCAGGGACAGTGTGCTTTGGCCTGGAGTAGGGGCGAGGCCAGGGAGAACAGAATACTGTGGAGCCAGTGTCCACCAACACTGGGCAGCACAGAGGACACTGGTCTGGGGCAGGAGTTGTGCCTGCCATGTATCTGAGTTTGTCTGCCTTCTCATTGATAGTATGCTAGGAGCCCTGTCCTCACTGCCCTCCTGGATGTCAGACCCACTGTCCCCTACTCTGCAAGATGTCTTATAGCACTCAGATTCATGAAAGGGCCTCCCTTTCCCTCAACCCCTCAACTGTGTTAATCCCACTGATCTTTAAAACCTCATGTTGTAGGCACCTGAGTTAGATAAAAGTATTATAGGCAATCAGACAGGACTAGGCCCTGGAAGCACTCAGTATGGAAGACATGGTATCTTGCAACCGAGAGAGGGACAGACACTCTCACTGTGGGCCAGACTCAAGACAAAAGATCAAACAAATATACCCACATACCTCCCTAAGGATAATCATCAGAGATCTATATTCTAAAAATATGACTATCACCTTGAAGAAGCCAGAAAGAGTCACTACCCCAATCCCCTACAGACCAAGTCCTTGTTTTGGATTCATGCCCCCTTGCTATGTGACTCCCTTCCCCCATTCGATCCTGATTTAAACACTTTTACCTAAGCAATTAGGTTTGCAGTCTTATTGGTCAATCATAGTTTTGTCCCACCTCATGCCCATCTAGTGAGTTCCTAGGGTTCCTACCTTGGACTCACCTCCCCTTATGGGTTTGCTCTAAAAAACTCCCTAGAAAACACAGGTTCCTTTGGCAATCCACTTGGGTCCCCTTCTTTTTCCTCTCTTGAACAGAAGCTTTCTTTACCTCAATAAATATAGTCTACTCTTAACCTCCATTGTTCCTAAAATTCATTCTTCAATTTTAGAAACCATGAACTCATCCCAGATATCTTTCAGGCTGGGAGTTTCTTTCCCATATCACTCAGATCAGATGTCACTTCTAAGGGAAGCGCTTCTTCCTTGATGCCACCTAAAAAGGTCAATTGAAACTGCTCTTCATTCTCTCTCAAGGGTCCTTTATACTTGACTTCTAGGGCTTCTCCTAACACACTTATCACACTAGTGATCAGGTACTGTGCTTTGTAATTGTGCCGTGACTATGTTTACCATTGTACTTAAGCTCTGTGCAAGTAGAGAACTATTTCTCAGTATTATTTCCATTCTTCTAGCATAGTGGTTGCCCAAGCACACACTCAGAGAACGTCCTTATCAATGTACCACAATTTCTCTCACTGGAAGACTGATTAGGTATGTGTATTTCAGGGCCTGGTACATGATAGGTCCCTGATACCAAGAATCATGTGTCATAGGAGAGAAACAGAAGAAACAAGGCTTTTTAGTGCAGGATGAAGAATGGAGTCAGATGCCCTTCTCAGAACTGAGAGACAATCTCTATTGCTGTTGGGATTATGGGTGAGTACACAGCAGGCATCAGACCTAGTGTAGGAACTTTATTAAGATGACCTCAGGCAACTTCTCACAATACTCCACAGTGGACCAAGAGTGTGGGGTCCCCACAGGAAGACTGCAAATCCCCATCAGCCGCTGTCAGTGAGTACTGAAAACAACCGGAACACGACTGCACACTTACTGTATTCCATGCCTACATGAAATATTAGCAGGTATCCTCCCCTAGACTAAGCATTATCATTATATCCATTTTACATCTGAGAGAACTGAGGTTGGTTCCAACAGGTGAAATGCTTTATCCAGTCACAAAGCTAAGAGGAGACAGAGATGTAACCAGCCTCATCAAATGAGTAGGTTGTGGTTGAAGAAATACTCAGTCCATAGAGCCACATGGGGATGACAAGTCAGTGGTTGAGAAAGGAAGCTGTGGACCTGTCATCTGGGGTGGGGGCGGCATGCATACTAGCCAAGAAATACAGTGGATGTCCTTTCTAGGCATCAAAGGCTGCCCATGATGAAAGCCAATGAGCACAGAAGGGCATGTGCAAGTGGTTGAGAGGGCCCAGGTGCAGGCCTGCACAGTCTCTAAGGGTGGGGACAGGATAAGCACACTCAGCTGCTGGGGCTTTTCCACCACCTGAGTCTCCTGTCACACATGTGCCTTCCCTACAAGGGAAACCACAAACAGCTCCCCCAGCCTTGAAGCTGGAGCACACAGGCTTGCCACAAGTCAGCACCTGAATTTAAATCAGGCCAAATTAGCACCATTCCTGCTGGTATCTGTGCTTTTTTCTCTCCCTCTGCCTGAAGGAGGAGAGGGAAAAGGCGAACAGCCTAGTAACACGCTGCTGCAGGACTGGAGTGAGGCTCTCCTGGCTGTGGGAGGGTCAGTCTGAGCTGAGAACCCCAGGAAAGGCACAGGCATAAGAGCTGATACAGCTCTGTCAGGAGGGTCTGTTTATGCAGAAGAAAAGGGCAGGGGGCCAGGGAAATGGCTCAGTAGAATAAGTGCTTCCCTGGCAAGCACAAGGGCCTGAGTTCAATCCCTGGTTCCACAAAAAAAAAAAAAAAAATGGCAGCTGGGGAGCACAGTGTACCTGCCAGAGGCTGCATGTGCAGAAGGAGCCAACCATGACCAGGGACAACATTGACTTTGGGCCAGTGGCTGCAGCACTTCAAAGTTCAGCATCCTCTGAGGATGAGGCTTCCAGTGCCTATAACCCCAGGAATAGAGCATGATCCTGAGGTTGTCATGTGCTCACATGTTCCCAGTCATATGAGGTAAGTACACAGACTCTTAGTAGGCCTTGGAGTTATGAGGGTGCCTGGCTCAAGTTGGGTCCCTGGGGTGGGTCCTGTGTCTACTAGCAATTCCTCACCACACAGTACCCAGGGACCACCCAATCCAGCTCCATCCATGCCCGGATGAGCCAACAAGGGTGGTGAGGGCCAAGAAACCAGTGGCCAGAATAGAGCATAGTTTCATTTTTTTTCTCTCCTTAAATTCAATCTCTGAGACCAAAGTGCCATATTGGAGAAAAACCAAGGAAGATGACAGAGATGGTGATAGCCTCCTGCAGCTCCCAGTAAGTAAAAGAGTTGGAAGCCAACAGAAGGGGCAATCTGGGAGGAGGCATCACAGGGCAAGTGTGTGAGAAGGGGGAGCTGCATAGGAAACTGCCCTGGTAGAGGAATAGGCAAAGCCATACTCAGGTTCGGCACGGTTTGCCCTATTCAGGGGAAAGGAGCTAACATCTATTGGGTTCCCTCTCTGGCCCACAGTATCTCATGCTGTTGTTAACCCAACGTAGAAATTAGCCTTGAGCAGGGGCAGATTGCACACAGGCAACCCAAGGTTTCTCTGCCCTGCCTAGGCCTTTAAACCTACTCCCATGAGCAGCTCTTGGATAAGCAGATTGTGGGCAAGGAGGAGCTTCTGGGCCCACTGATTGGGAATCCTGGCTCACCCCCCCCCATTGGCCCCTCTGTCCTCCAAGGCTGTCCCTGCCCTCCTCCATCGGGACATATGGTGGAACTTTCCAGGCATGTCTATGTTCCTTAAACAGGTGCTCTCTGAGGGTGGGGATGAGGTGTCCATCCCTCATGCGCTGCCCAGAGGAACAGCACAGAAGTGGGCAAAGGAAGGAATATTATTCCTTTCAACCTCACATATGTGCCAATTAATTTTATCCACTCACAGAGCTGTGGCCTGGGGCAATGGTTCAGAGGGCAAGAAGGCAAGAATGGAGTGGGAAGAGGCCCCTGACCTCCAAGGCTTTCTCTGCACTGGCATTTCCTCCAGAGCTGCCCCTGGGCTGGGTCCCCTGGGAACCTGCTTCATAAACACTTACTTAGCAAGGCGTTTAAAATGCTATTGATTTCTCTCCTCAAGAGGAGAAGTGAGACAGTGATAGACACGGTGAGCAGTTAGCAACAATGAGTCCCATCCACCCCCCAACCACAAGTTATTTCCTTTTCAGATTACCAGCCTGGCAGCCCTGGGAGAGACACATCTTGCTAATGGAGGCAGCCGCTAGAACCAGCAGGTGCTCTGGCTCTGATAGCAGCAATTAGAGGCTTAAGCTCTTTTTGCCATAGACAATGAAAAATAAAGCTGACTTCCAAAGGTATACTTGCCTCGAGGCATCTTTCTACACTGTTTAGGAAGAAAGGCAGGAGCCCCATCTTCCTTGTGGCAGGATCTGAAGCCCCTACTTCTGGTCAAGACTTCACTGAGAAAGGACATCGCAATAGGTACCAGGCCATGTAGGCACGTAATCAGAGCCCCACTGCCACGTGCCTAGCTACTATATGAGTAGACTGAATGCATGCAGCACATACTCTACTGGCTGGTGTCACCCTCCATAAGCCGAGGCTTTCTCCTGTATTCTTCATGGCCACAGTCCCAGCACCTAGAACAACAGCTGCCTCAGAGCAGGTGCTCAATAAATATTCTATGGATTCCCTTCTGTTTTGCTTATAATAACAGCAGCTCTGTCGTTACATCACAATGGTTTAGCATCAGGGATTGTATAACCACTGTCCCTCCAAATGAAACAAGGGAAGCGCAAAATCAGCACTCATGGCCTCTCTGGGTCTCATTTATAGATTTCTCTGGGATGGCCTCTGCCCCTTGAATTCACAGAATCCCTGGGCTAAAAGAAGTTTCTGGAGCTGTACAATGCAAATAGAGAGAAAAAGGAACTCTCAGAAAGTCCAATTACCTATGCCTGATGTTTGGAGCCAAGGCGAGGTGAACATGGAGAGGTGACCCGGAGGTACCAGTAGCATTAACATTGGCTGAATGTTACCAGTGTCTGTATTTACATATTTTAATGACTGTAAAAATAGGGATTGCTGGCAGAGGCCACATCAGATTTGTCATAGAATAAAAAAACTATCTTTGGGAAAGTAGTAAGTGGAGATGTACGCTCTTGCCTGGGGATGGAGCACTCTCTTGCGGGCTTGTGATGGGGGACAATTAGGCAGAAGCTTTCAGATCAGGGTTGCAGCACGAAATTTCCACTAAGTTCCCTTTCCTGGTATGGAGGGCAACATAGTATAAGAAGCTATTCAAGATCCATACTTCAGGCCAAACTCTGGGATTTATGGAGTAAACACATTACTTTGTCTCAAGGAAAATCTGGACCTCTAACCCCACCCCTACTCCCAGGTCCTGTGGAATTTCCTTGGATACAAGATGCTGGCATTAGGTGAGAAGATGTAGGGAGATGGCAATGTCAGAACCAAACCTAGGAAGAGAACAGAGCACTAAACACATTTTCTTCCCCCTTTCTTTCACTCCTGCAGAAATCTCGGTGCTAAGGTTTGTTTTTGTTTTTTTTTTTTTTTTTTCAGAACTGGGGATTGAACTCAGGCCCTTGCACTTGCCAAGGAAGTGCTTATTCCACTGAGCCATCTCCCTGGTCCCAATGCTAAGGTTTTAATGCAATGGGGAGAAAGGTGAGGATACAATTGAGAGATGAGAGATGAGAGATGAGAGATGAGAGATGAGAGAGAGAGAGAGAGAGAGAGAGAGAGAGAGAGAGAGAGAGAACAGGAGAGGGGAGGGACAATAATGTAATGCCAGAACAAAAGAACCTTGAGGAGCTTTGTAGTGGACTCCTTGTGCTTTTTTGTCTGCTCTGGTTCTTTTGCACTTCCATGGAAACAGTATTTTGGTAACACAGATTGACAACAATCTGAGCCAAGGACCTGTGTTTCAGGATTACTTATGGTCAGCTGAGCACTGCCACTTTGGTTCCCTTGCCTTTATAAATCACATCTTGCATTGCTTAATTTTATATTTTGAAGTTCACTAAATGTAAGAATATTCGACCCTAGAAGATAAGAACTCCTTCGCAGCAAAGAACTGCATATTTGCATCCTTAAATATGTCCTGCATATTTTAGGGAGAAAGAAGGGTTTTTTGATTTTGATTTAACACAAGACATTGATGACACAGCATGGAAATGATGTGGTTGTCGTCCCATTACTACAAATATAGATGATAGTGATGGTACTGGTAGTAATAATATTTAAAATGATGTTATACCCAAGTTCCACTACTAGTGCTTTATTTTAAAACAACTTCATGAGGAGGCACTGGTAGTTATTTGTCCATTCTCCAATGGAGATACGAATTTAGGTAAAGGATTTACTAGAAATCACGTACCTGGTAGACTTCTGCACTGAACACAGATGCCTAAATCTAGAAGCCAAACTCTTCATGACTCTGCTTTGCTGCCTGCCATACATGCTTTCTCTGCAACAAAGACAGTCTGCTTAGACTGAAAGCCTTGGAGGACAGGTGTAAGCATGAGCAGTGTGTGCACAAAAAATCATGGATCGGGATCATTGAGGACCTCAACATCATGCCCATGCTGATGATACACTAAGTATTTGAACTTCAATACTTTCTCCTATTATCCCATCTTGTATGCTAGCTTTTGTAGAATATACAAATTGGAAAATTGAAAGTCAGATTACAAACTCTCATCTGTTACGTTTTTGCTCTTTATCCCAAACCCAGAGTAGCTACAAATCAGATTCCATTGTCCTGTGGACAGGGCCAACAGAATCAGCAGACAATCTTTGCTAATGACAGGCTAGAGGGAAAAGCAGCCCAGGCATTAAAGCCCTCAGCATGCATTGGTTTATAAACCCTGAGCTTTTGGGAGCTGCTGCTGAGCCACTTCAGTTGCAAGCTCTGCAGGAAAAAACAGGACAGCACAGTTGGAGGGAACATCCCTGGCACCTGGGGCAATGCTGGGTATCCACAGGGTACTGGTGGTTGGCTCTCCACTTGGATATGGTTCCCTTCTATGCCAGCTGCCCTCTGGCTAGGCTAGGATCAAATATGCCCACAGGTAACCCATTCATTGTTCCCACACTTTGAAGAGTAATAAAACCAGCTGCTGGGCTGGGGATGCCAAGACTGCCTTCCAGGAGAGCTTGCAGAAGGTTAATGCAGGGCTGTCATGCACATCGGATTCTCAGTTGGGCTTCTGTCATCCCATTCTTCCTGCACTTGATTCCTTGCTCTGCCTGTGTCCAACAGCTGTCTAGTGCCCACTGGATGGCTATGCCAACATACTGGGCTCTGAGCCTGGAATTAAAAGGATCTTCAGCACCGATCTGCTTCCAGCCTAAGCGGGCCCACCCAGAAACCCAGAGAGGCAGGCAGGACAGCATTAACAGGAAGCTAGCACTTCATGAGGGCTCAGACCCCTGTTCTGATGCATCCTGATGAGTTCCATCTGCTGCCAGTCTGTGCTGGGCATACAGCCCCTTGCCCCAGGACTGCACTGTGGCTAGAAAATTCACTATAATGCGTGCATATATCTTGCAGAGAGGAGACAAACAGTAGGGAAAATCTCCAAGTAAATCTGAGAACAAGAGAAGGCAGGTAGGAAAAAATTCTGCAAATATTGACCTATAAAATGCACAGGAAATGAATGCCTCTTGAGACATCAACCAATTCCCAGTGTGCTAGAAATCATCAGAACAAAAAGGGACTCACAGAAGTTTACAGCTTTAGCAGAACCTATTTCATAAATTGCCTTTTGTATTTCTGTGTGAAATAAATAACTTGACCTCACCCTCATTCAAGTTTGAGCCCCCATTCATACCAAATCTCTTTATTTTTGTTGTTAAGAACAACAAAATGATTGATTGTTGGAAAGAACTGAAAAGAAACTTTTCAGATTAATCATTAGGACTAGGAGTCAGCTGTCTTTTGGGAACCACTGGTATTTATCACCTCGTGTGAGATATTGATGTGCTATGGCCCATAGCAATGATCACATACCCATCTGCAGATGCAGTTAGGAGCCTTGGCAGTTGTCACCACTGTCCTTCCAAGCAGTCACCAAAGGATAAAAGAAGGTCCACTACATAACGTGGCTATCACTAAATCACCCAAACAAAGACAAATACTAGGCAAATAGGCTGAGGACTAAACATATTTTGTTTTTGAAAATATTTTATATTGTACTTCTGAGAGTATGATGCTGAAAAAAGTAGGATGTGATGAATCATGCCTATAATACCAGCTCTCAGGAGGCTGAGGCAGCAGGATTGCTGTGAGTGTGAGGCCAGACTAAACTACATAGTGAGACCCTGTCTCAAAAAATAAATAAATAAATAAATAAATAAATAAATAAATAAAGTAAAATAAAGAAAGAAGAAAATTAAAGTAGGAGCTTGTTGCCTAGTCCCTGGTTGCTTCTTCCCACACTGGCTGCTGGTCTTCAAAGAATCAACAGCTGGGATCTCATCTTAATAAAAAAATTCTTGCACATCAAAAGAAATCACCAACAGAGTGAAAAGAAAACTCACCAGCTGGGAAAAAAAATTTGCCAACTATCCCTAAGGAATTCCACCTAGAAAATACAAAGATTTGAAAAAAAAAAAAAATCAGGGCTGCCAAATTCAAAGACCGAATCAAAAAGTGGGTATCTGAGATGAATACACATTTCACAGATGAAGAAATTCAAATGGCAAAGAAATATATGAAAAAATGTTCAATATCATTGTTCATTCACTGCAAATTAAAACAACAATGAGATTCTATCTGATCTAAGCAAGGATGGCTATCATCAAAAAATCAACCAAAGCCAAGCATGATGGTGCACACCTGTGATCCTGGTACTCAGGAAGCTGAGGCAGGAGCACTGTTGTGAGTCTGAGACCAGCTTGGGCTACAAAAATGAGCTGAAGGCCACCCTGAGCTGCATAGTGAGATCCTGTCTCAAAAAGACAAAAAAGGCCCAGCGATATAGCTAGGCAGTCTAAGCGGCTGCCTGGCAAGCACAAGGACCCAGATTTGATCCCCAGTACAGCATGTCATGCTGGCCCTGCACCAAGGCAGCCACTGAAACCAGGTGTGTTGCCACATATCTGTAATCCCAATGCTGGACAGGCTGAAATGGGAGGATCATTATAAGACCAAGCTACATAGTGAGATCCTGTACCAAATAAATAAATAAATTTTAAAACATATACAACAACAACAACAAAAAGAAATCAACCAATGACAAATGTTGATGGGGCAGTGGG